ACATCAATGGAGGACTGAATGCGCTTAAGAACAACACGTTCTGCTAGCTCAAGTCCAACAGAGGTTAAAGCAATAAGACGAAAGCTTTTAGTTAGAACGTTTGAAGTAGAGGATTTGGGAATGGGAACAATTGTTACTGGTTTCCAATTGTCTGGTATAGAGCAGGTCTTTAAGGAATTGTTCAAAAATGATGTGAATATTTCACTGAGAGAATAGGCCCCCATATCTCAGAAGGGAAGATGAAAGACCATCGGGACCAACACTGGACGTGGTTTTCACGGTGCGCAAAGCTCGAGAGTTTCTTCTTTCGAGACGGACTCTACTTGAACAGCATCATCCAGAACAAATTGTGTGATCGCATCGCTTGATGGGTGGATAAATGCTGCATTAACACTGTCCAAACCCGTTGTACAATCCGACGTTTTGGATTTGGTCCCACACAGCAATTTGATACCTTACCAAATTCGCTTGCTGTTGTTACAAAGCGGAAGCTGGGAGGCGTACGAAACAGAGAGGCGTTTGATTGGAGCTTTGATCAAGTCGGTGTAATGCTTGACAGCCGCTGAGTCTCTAGATTTGTACGACCGTTCCTTCTACCTTCTGAATGATTTCAGCAGTAGAGATGCTATTCTGCCGTTACAAACTAATAGAGTTTCAAAAGGGCAGCATAGGTTAAACGTGTGGTTAAGTGTTTCAGTGAATAAGTTGACTGCATTGCGTAAAGAGGGATAAGAAGAAAACCACGAAGAAACGACACTGATGGAACGCTTAAGAAGAAGTGTTTCTTGGGGAGAGATGACGAAGATGAATGGTGATTTGATTGGTTCTTGTGAGTGTATTGTGAATGCGACGGGAGTAGACTGTGGGTTTTATGAGAATCAGTGCATGATCAGTAGTGGAAATAGATGCGGTGAGTTTTAGGGCAAAATGTTCTGGGTGATTANTGTGAATATTTCACTGAGAGAATAGGCCCCCATATCTCAGAAGGGAAGATGAAAGACCGTCGGGACCAACACTGGACGTGGTTTTCACGGTGCGCAAAAGCTCGAGAGTTTCTTCTTTCGAGACGGACTCTACTTGAACAGCATCATCCAGAATAAATTGTGTGATTGCATCGCTTGATGGGTGGATAAATGCTGCATTAACACTGTCCAAACCCGTTGTACAATCCGACGTTTTGGATTTGGTCCCACACAGCAATTTGATACCTTGCCAAATTCGGTTGCTGTTGTTACATAGCAGAAGCTGGGAGGCGTACGAAACAGAGAGGCGTTTGATTGGAGCTTTGATCAAGTCGGTGTAATGCTTGACAGCCGCTGAGTCTCTAGATTTGTACGATCGTTCCTTCTGCCTTCTGAATGATTTCAGCGGTGGAGATGCTATTCTGCCGTTACAAACAAATAGAGTTTCAAAAGGGCAGCATAGGTTAAACGTGTGGTTAAGTGTTTCAGTGAATAAGTTGACTGCATTGCGTAAAGAGGGATTAGAAGAAAACCACAAAGAAACGACACTGATGGAACGCTCAAGAAGAAGGGTGTTTCATGGAGAGAGATTGGGAAGACGAATGGTGATTTGATTGGTTTTTGTGAATGGGGCGGGAGTAGACTGTGGGTCTTATGAGAATCAGTGCGGAAATAGGTGCTGAAATTTAGGGCAAAATGTTCTGGGTGATTAGTAATAACCTTGTCTGAAAATGAACCACCTGTTGTGGGGGACAAGCAAATATCAGTTAAGCCAAAAAGAAGTTATGGGATAGGTGGGTGCATGATTAAAATCACCAGCAATGATGTAAAGACTATCAAGGCAAGTGAACTCTCTTGAGGAATTCACAACCGGAGCCTTCGGCTAGCTAAAGCCTGACCCACAATGCATCGGAGCGGTGTTCGAGAATCGCCATCTGTTGGGGGGCCGGTGTCCAGTTCATCGGATCATACGTCCTTTGGACGGGGTCAAACGTCCAAGTTGCCCAATACACCTCGATGCCCAATTGAACCCGTGACCATTGCAATAACCGGAAAGGTGTGGGTGTGGTTCGTACGCCTCATCATGGTTGGTTTGGAATCAGGGTTTTTGGCCAACTCCCCTAGGTGAAGTGCCAGTGGTTCACCAACCTGGTTATACTCCCGGATATTGGCTTTNGCTTTTCGTTCCTTCACTTTGGTGGGAAAGCACCTCCACCGCGAGAAGGCAGTGAGTAGGGCTTCCTCAGCAGAGGCTATTCGAGACGCTTGGTCGTATGGGAGCATTTCGCGAAATGCAAGGGCGGGGTGACCCCCCGCAACCCTGAACACCCACCCCCGACCATAGTGAGGATTTCGTTGGCGTATACACTATATGGTTGGTTGAGTAGTATTTCTTCGTGGTCAATTGTGCTTTTCCCCCGTACAAATAATCTTGTCCTGTTTTGTAATATTTTAACTATTCATGCCTTGCCTAAATCCAGAACGCTATTATGCAACCAAGCTGAATCATAAATCTTCAAATAGTCCGATCGGTACAGAAAACCTGTCCCCTCTCTGTTCACTGGACACGGCAAAAATCTCAAATCACACATATTCTCGATTGTTTCCTTTATTCAAAGTGACACTTGGAATCATTTGCACACACACACACACTACCGGTTTGTGTTTCCCTCAAAATGGCTTCATTGAATGTGTTCAATTTTGCTCACGTAACCTGACTTTGAGGGCTTGGGTTTGGTCAACTTGGTCACGTGTTATCAAGCGATTTTTTCTATCGAGAAGGCCAAGTTTCGTTCTATTTTTGTCTGTATCATCGAATTACTTTGTACCACCGAGGGTCGTCGAATCACTTCGGCATTGACTCACCGCATTTAACATCGTTTTCGGTGTTGCACGCGTCACTTCCCATTCTCAACCTGAGGACGCATCCGGTAGCTACAGATTCTCTGACTGTAGACTTATAAAATAGCCCGACAGGTTTGTGATTCGTTGATAGTAGTTTGGGCGGTTCAGCTGAGATCGATAAAGGTTAATAGAGAAGGACGATAAACGTATTTCAATTTGCATGTGGAAGCTTGTATATTTCTCCGTCGCTAGCACACAACACTCACCGGGTTTTCAATTTGTTTTCCTAACAGATTGTGGACCACCAGGTGCTTTGTGGCATATTTTTCTTCCGGAGGATATGCCAGCTCTTCGAGAGTTCCTCATCCAAATCACAGAAGAGGAAAGCGGAGCACCACTCGAGCCGGGCAGTGATCCGATCCACGATCAGCTGTTCTACTTGGATCAGCCCCTACTGGATCGACTGTACGCGTGTATGGGTGTCCTGCCATGCACTATAGTCCAGTTTCGAGGTGACGCGGTATTCATTCCGGCCGGAGCGGCTCATCAGGTCAGTAACGTGCTAGGGTTCACACTTCTATTCCGTGCAGAGCTTTGAATTTAGCCAATGTAACTTCATACACATAGCCATCTGATTTTGTTTCTCTTTTAATCAAGAACAATCTCAACACTTATGCACTCATTACATATCAGCAGTAGAATTTCAAGCCGAATGAAAAAACCGCCTAGGTTTCCTCTACTTAGAAAGTCAACTATCAGTGGACAGTATTACGGTCTGGTGTAACATTATCCGACAACTGTAGCATTCTTACACTCGATTATCGTCTCTCTGCATATCACTTGTCACTGTGCCAAAGTGGGAAAAGTGTTCAACTGAAGCAGAAGGTACTGGGAGCACCACTTTGTAAATTTTCCCCATATGTATGCGACAGAAAGTCGCATTTACTGGTGTGTGTTTGTAGGCGTACACTCAGCTTGAGATCTAGCGTCGATGTTTACCAGGATCCATTTTAGACCAGGGAGAGAGAGAGAGAGAGAGAGAGAGAGAG